GAAACAAATAGTGTCTATAATGTTTTTTACCTCTGTCTACAAAATTAGCTTCGCTTAGAGATATATTGTTGTTAGCATAGATATAGTGAATAGACTGCGCGTTCCCTAAATAGCTATGAAGTAAAACATATATATGTTTTTGTATCCTTCTAGAGAGCTATAATTTCTTACAAGTTATTCTCAGTCCATTATCTATTTCTGTGGTTCAGTATATCCCGCTAAAATCACGACTGTGGAGCGCAGGCCGCCAGTCAACATACCTGATCATGCAGTATACAGTTCATCCGAGGAACAGCGCAAGTCATCCAACAACATAGTTTCGTATAACGCAAGTAGCAGATTGCTCGTCAACAACTTCATACAGAACATCGTCAACATAGTAAAGTGGAGTAGATTACAATGCACTGTGTGACAACAGCATCGCTTAGTATCATAGTATTGGAACTCACCATGGGCACAGAATATAATGCTAAGAGCGTCGCCAGCCATTGACGTTCATGCAGCTAGTTCATTAAACTTTGTTTGGTCAGGCAAGGCAGTTAAGTAAGTGGACTTCGGTTGGTCCGTTGGACTTTGGTTAATATACGTTTGGCTACATTTTTCATAGCAACGAGAGGGAGGCAGCCTTTTTTTTGACGCAGGAAATACCTCTATTTACAGACGAAGGCGCCTTTAAGAGGCACACCGCCGAATGGACCTCACACCTGGCTCCCGCAAGCCTTACGGGCCCAATACGGCATAATATCCTCTAAAAAACCCTGCGAAGATCCTCTAGGCTGCTAAGTGCGAAACCGCGGGATCCCCGTTTAGGGATTCTGCCGCGTTTCCGCAACGCAGCTTCCTGGCCTAGCCGGGGAGCCCCCCCTGCCCTTGGTTACGGACATTAAATCGTCAGTACTGACCTTGAGCAGCGCGTACTCGTGGTCAGGCAGCCGTCGCGTGACCGTGTACCCCGCCAGCACCACGCCCGCGGAGCGCAGGTCCCCCGTCAACAGCATCACGTATGCCATCGTGATCGCCAGCTCGAACACGTAGTAAGAATACTGGATGTCGCCGAAGTCTAGGATGCCCGAGATTTGGTAGTCGGTGTGGCTGTGAAAATAATCAAAATTGTATGGCAAAAATCACCTTTGCCATAAAGCGCTGGCTGAAAATCAGCGCTGCTGTGCAGCAGCGCCCTATTGGCCTTCCACGGCACGATGTTTTTTTTTTATCTTTTATCCTTAAACCTATGTTTCACTATTAAATAACTATTTGTATTTCTAAATGAATGCTGTTAAGGCTATTAAAATGTTTTTCTTTCTTTCTTTCTTTCCAAAAGGGTGGTGATGTTGGCTTAGAAGCCGAATAATGGTATGGCGATTGTTCCACTGCCCCGCAATACGCTGCGGATGTAGATCTGCATGAGCTTGCGAAAGTGCAGATTTTGCCATACAAATTCGTTCTTCTTTGCATGGAGACGCGTGATCTGCAACATCATCAGCCTATTAATGTCCCCACTGCTGGGGCACAGGCCTTCCCCATGGATGGAATAGGGAGATTGGGCCATGACCCACCACGCGGGCCCAGTGCAGATTGTCGGGTGCTAACGACTGCAGATGCAGCCGGGACCAACGGCTTAACGTGCCTTCCGAAGCACGGAGGAACTCGAAGTAGTAAATTTTTGGTCACCCATCCAATGACCGACCACTGCGAAAGTTGCTTAGCTTCAACGATCGCAGCCGAACGCGCTGACCACTTGCGCCATCGTGATCTGCAACACTGGTTGCACTATACATGTTGAGTAGTGACCATTGTAGCGTTCAGATGCTTGCGATACCTAAGGATACATGTATCTTTTTCCACTCCATAAGTAGAGTTTTGGAGATTTACTGCAGACACAATGAAAGAAATGTGATTTGGCATCGTTTTTCTATAAGAGCGAGAGTACTTTCTTTAGGAGCATTACAATAAAATAATATTGCAAAACTCACAACAATTATTATGTTTGGTTCCAATCTTAAACTATAAGAAGTGTTCTTCGCACAAATAACTCTGTACCGAGACTCGAACCCAGAACCATTGGAGTAGAAGGTAAGAACGCTGGTGGACGACTGGTCAGCAGTCATCCATTAAAAATCATAAAAAAGGATAATCATCATTTATTAAGGTCCGCACTGCTGGGGCACAGGCCTTCGCTGTGGATGGAATAGGGAGACTGGGCTGAGGCCTACCACGCAGGCCCAGTGCGGATTGTTGGATGCTGACAACTGCAACGGCTTAACGTGCCTTCCGAAGCACGGAGGAGCTCGAGATAGTAGGTTTTTGGTCACCCATCCAATAACCGACCATTGTGGAAGTGGCTTACCTTCCACACACTTAAAGTGTTACGTTTATTTGCAGAAAAGAAATAGAAATTAGAAATTTCAAATAGATAGAAAGAACTTCTCTAGAGAAAACACCCTGTTAGTTTTGCACAGTACTAGAAGCCTTTTTTTCCATAGAAGTTTCGTTTTATTGAAAAAATTAAATATAATAGCTCAGAATGCACTATTACGTCTGAGTGTGAAGCCAGGGTTAAAGGCACAGACTGAGAAACGTGTCATCAATAGACGAATCTTTATAGAAAACTACTCGCCTCTCAAAACTTTAAAGCAAATGTATAAAGATTTATTTATTTATTATACATACTATTGTAGGGGAGTCCAAGTGAGGATTTTTGGATTTACACGAGCATTGTGCAATAGTAAAATAAATATTTTAGTGAAAAATCAAACAGGAGATAAACTCCAAAACATTTATAATGGTCCATTTGTAGTTATTGAAGAAGTGTCACCCAATGTAAAAATCTTGAAGAATAATAAGGAATATCTTATACATAAGAATAATACGAAATTGTATTACTCTTAAAAATACCACAATATTTCAGTGATGCACCCTCGTCGCTCTCTCTCCTGCCGTAAGGAACTTCGTCGCGCCTGCGCACGTCTCATTTAACGGTTTTATTCCACGCACTTTTTTCCACGGATTTTTTCTTACGGTTTTACTAATATCACATTTTTTTCAGTTCGGTCGCGCAGCAAAATCTCTATCCCCTCCAAGCCTACCGTAAGGAACTTCGTTCCAATAAGTTTTTTTGTTAGTTCAATATGATTTTATCCATAGGGAAAACCGTAACTTCGGATTATTATTTAGTAAAAAAATGATGTGGTGTCGTGGGACACCAGGTAGGAACGAAGTTCCTTCGGCTAATGTAGAATCGACACAAATTGCAAACTCGCTTGTGTATGCGACTGTCGCGCCTGCGCACGTCTCATTTAACGGTTTTATACCACGCACTTTTTTTCCACGGATTTTTTCTTACGGTTTTACTATCACATTTTTTTCAGTTCGGTCGCGCAGCAAAATCCCTATCCCCTCCAAGCCTGCCGTAAGGAACTTCGTTCCAATAAAAAGCAATGATATACAAACCTGAGCCCTCTACGTAGGGCCGAACGTCTAGGACTCTCTCCGTCATGACCTCCAGTACCCATTGAAAAGACTGACGATTTGGCCACGACCCAAATGTGAAATGTTATTCTGCCGCGTTCGAGTTAATCCAAAAATCCTCACTTGTCCAAAATCCAACTATCCCTACTTACTAGGTAGTAGTAGGGAAGCCCAAGCGGCGATTTTCATCCATGTCTAGTCAGACACGGATGCAATTATTGTACAATCGTCAAAATATTTAGAGAGGCACGCTAGTATGTAAGCAAAGTAACAAAAATCAATGATATGCAACAATTTCGATAGTTCTTAATTATTCCTGTCAAATATCGATAAAGGTCACCCGGTATTTTGTGCCAAAGTTGTATACTTTTTTAATTTTTTTATCTATGTTTCATAATTGGGTAACGTAGTCTGGCAATATTTGTCATCAGCAGCTAGCTGTCAATGTCAAATACGTAGGTTTGTCATCAAAAGGGTTTCTATATTAATAAATATTAATCATTAAATAACTTCTTTCCACGATTCACTAAAAAAAAGGCAAAAGTAGTTTTATGTAGCAAATAATTTTGGCTTTATTTTGAGATCAAATTCAACTGTATACAAGTTTAGCATTTTTTCTAAGAAAAGTGCCGGGTCTCCTTTGATACCGCCATTTCATAAAAAATCAGAACCCGTTATCAATTGAAGAAATTTACCATTTCTATATCGTGGTTGCCGCCACTGTTTAAGATTGTTCGAGAACCCCTTAATACAAACGGTGGTAATGATAGTGTTTTTTAGATTAGAGTGCATTTGACCTCAATCGCACCTGATGTTAAGCAAAGATGTGGTCCAAGCTGCAAGCGGGGCACGCAAACTCAAATAATGTCTATAATACTCTGAAGGTTAAATCTATCATGGAATACATAGGCAGGAAGGGTGTTCCATTCCCTAGCAGAACGCATGATAAAGGAGGATACAAAAAGTGGTTAATGCGACCAATAGAAGATCGTAAGGTCTTCTATTATGGATATCTCCAAATAGGTACTCGAATAGGATCGAATTTTATCCACATATTTTACTATACGTCGTAGAAAGATCGTCTATTCATGAGTCTGTGCCAGAAGGCACGATGCTCAAACCTTGACCCGTGGCTCACCTCAACACAATCCCGTTTAAGATCTTGGTGCATGTCTTCAAAACCCTCGTGCACAGTTTCCTAATTGAATTTTATACGGTTAAAAGGTGACTTCCAATAGCGTACAGTTTGGGGCTTTTCAAAAATTGAACTATTCAATAACTTAAAATAAAAAAAAGGAAAAAATTCTAAGCATATTACTCCAAACCAAAATTTAACTGGTGCAGCATTTCTACCTTCCATACCATACCATCGTCATTTTTGCCAGCTCCTAAGTTGTTTTCTTTTTCATATTTCTTTTAAAGGAAACCGGGCGGCAGTAATCTTTTCTCATGTTATTTAAAGGGACCTTTTAAAGGGAATGGCAGCAGAACATAGGGCCTCGTGGCAAAGGTAGACAAAGAATTCTTTTTACATTAAAGTTCACAAGAAAGTCTGTCAAGTTTGTGGTGGCGACATCTTCACCCCACGTCCCTTAACTAATGGGGGATGGATTCACTCGCTTTTTTAAGATATGGCGCTACTGGTGGCGCACTCAATAGTAAGGAAAGCCTACATCACGCTAAAGAAATTGGCTCGGTGGAAAGATCGGGGAAATCCCTTTAGGCCTTCCTAAAAGTTATCTACGTTCACATACCTGCATCCAGGTTTTGGACTGACAAGGATGTTCATTTCATTAACGTCCCCATGGATCACCCCTCGCTCCAACTCCTCCAGGCGAGGTACTATGGCGTATTTGAACTCTTCTAATACCTGGAAAACATTAAATCAACGATATGCTAACAAATATAATAATGAAACCCATAACGAGATTATAAGAGAATAGTACGTGAAGAAAGGCTGACTTTTCTATAGAAAACTACCAAAGCAAACGAAGAAGAAAGCTGGAGTCGTTTTGTACCAGGAAGGGAATAACAGATCCTGATCCTGATCCTATTTTAGAGCCCGTCTGAACAGAAGACCAAAATAAATTCTCTTGTCTGCAAGTTAATTCCAGGGCTCCACAGGGTAGAGGATTGATATCAAGCCAGCTTGGATAAATTTAAAATTTAAGGGTTTTCCCGTGACAGGACTCCATTTACATTTAACATCAGAAGAGGTTTTGCATTTGCTGCACCATGTTATAGACTGGACTGGAAAGAACGATGCTCTTGATTTTTCATGAAATTGAAGATTACCTCCTCGGCCAAATCTAGTTTCTCAGCGTCCTTGATCACGTACTTGAACTTCTCCAGATGAGGCACCGTAGTCAGCATCCAGATGTGCTGGCGGGACACCAGACCCGAATGGTTGAAGTTCTGGAAGTCAACACAGAGATTACCACTTTCTGATTACACACGCTTAGTGTCGCCGCAAATGGGCCACACGCCACAGCCACAAACGACGCCACGAGAAGCTAGAAGCGCCTACTAAAGTGGCTGAAGCGCGCGACAGCGGCCGGCTAAGGTAAGGGAGAGAGGGGTGGGGAATCACGCGAGTGACGTATGGCGGCCTTTTGTATCGGCGCATTCAGTGGCCGGTGCGGGCCACAAGAAGCGAGCAACGACGATTTGTAGCGTGTGGCGGCCACCGACGTACCGTGTGTGGCGAGTCCATATAAAATGTATGAAAACTACAAGAAATATGCCGGTGGCGGCGTTTTGTGGTTGTGGTCGGTGGCCCGTGTGCGGAGACACTTATATGTAAGACGAAATTTCGTAAATACTGATTGATTTTATAATAAAAATTCCTGATCCCTAGTCACTTACGATCTTAGAGTTTATGATATATATTTTTTATTATCGGTTGAGGTGTATATTTCGGGGAACGATTGGATAAATCGATTTTTCATACAAATCCCAGGGATTTTGCAAATGCCGAAAATTAGACAATGGCGATGACATTTCTCTTTTCATCCGTACTTCAGAAAACAGGTTAAGTCGTTATTTCTAAACTTCTGAAACCAAAATGATTCTATACAAAATGGTTTATCTGTCATTTTAGTTTCGAATAGGCTATCTGCAAATTTAACAGCAAAATAAATGATAAAACGAATAATCTGATAAATGGTTGCATCACATGTTGTCATAATCCATTTTTATTAGCACAAATAATGTGGCAACGACAATTTTGAAAGAAAAAGTTAATTGAGTTGCGGCCATTAGTGTCGGCAAATCGCTGTTTTTGTTTATCATGTTGCTTTTACGTATAAATCGCTTGTCCCTGTTTAGATCTTTCTCATATTTTCATCGGTTAATTATCACGCTTTGAGGTGATAAATGGTTGATGAAATATAAGATTATAAACCAACACCATTGACTAAACAAAGTTCTAAATATTCTTATTTTAATATTGAAAATTGAATATTTAAAACATCATCATCATCATCATCAACCCATGTTCGTCCACTGCTGGACATAGGTCTCCCCTAATGCACGCCACTGCTCCCGATTTTGTGCTACCCTCATCCAGCCCACTCCGGCCAGCCTACGAATATCATCATCCCATCTTGTCTCAGGGCGTCCTACACTACGTTTACCGAGTCGCGGTCTCCACTCAAGAACTTTCCGGCTCCAACGTCCATCAGTTCTGCGGCTAATGTGACCAGCCCACTGCCACTTCAGTTTGTTAATTCGGTGGGCTATGTCGGTGACTTTGGTTCTCTGTCGGATTACATCATTACTGCTTCTTACTCCTTCAGGGAAAACATATTTAAAACATATTTGGCTAATATTAGTATATAATTTTTATTTTTTGTTTTACCAAATAATTATAATGTTAAAGTATACATGGACATACACGTATTTTTCTATATGATTCTGTTTCCAACTATAAATAATACAAAGGAAAACCGTAATTTTAATGAATGAAAATTACTGACGGTTACATTGTACATGTTCAACCTTCAGTGAGACATTGAATGTTGTTGTTAACATGATATTATGTGTTCGTCATGTAGCAAAACTACAATGTTAATGAGAAAATCATGAAAAATGTGCCAAACATCTTCTTTAATACTGCCTTATGTAACGTACAATAATGTCAATGAAAATTATCCTATTACGAGCAAAATATCACTAATAATCCTATCACTAATGTGTGTTATCTATATGATAACCTGCATACGGACCAGAACAGAACAGAACAGAACAGGGAATATCTGCATGATCGAATCAGGAATTATGAGATCCTCAGGAGAACTAAGGTCGCCGAGATAGCCCAAAGTATTGCGAGTCTGTAGTGGCAGTAGGTAGGGCACATTGCAAGGAGGACTGACGGCAGTTGGGGTTGAAAGGTACTCGAGTGGCGGCCGCTTACTGGAAGATGCAGCGTTGATGGCCTTCCACAAGATGGACTGGCGATCTGGTAAAAGTCGCGGTAAGCCGCGGGATGCAGGGCAGCGCAGGACCGACCGATGGGTTTGGAATTCCTTGGGGGAGGCCTAAACCCAGCAGTGGCATCTCTCAGCTTATGATGATGACGAACATACCTGCAGCTTATTATCCAAATAAGCCACGAATTCTCCTAGCTGATACAGCAGTGGTTCTCCCAAGGGTACGTTCTTGAGCAGCTCCCCTGGAACGTATTCCAGCAGGCGCACAGCGTGCTGCTTGCCGCCGATGGTCTCCACGGAGTGAAGGTGTCCATACACATTGCGGACGGGCTTCGGACATGTCACTGATCTGGCGTCTGACAAAGAAGGTAAAGATTTATCAAACTTTCATGGTCACTAACATTATATTATTGTAAATATAAAGATTTATTTTTGAAGTGAAAACTTCTTTAGCGGCGTTGTACCCTTTTTTTTGTATAGGTAACAAATGTTAAACTCGTGCCAGGACACGTGGGCTGATCGCGTCATGACACGTGGCCTGATCGGATGATAACAATAAAATTGGAAAGGTTGGTGACTTTCAATATATTGGACGAAACATAGTAATATTTTATTTTATCTTATTATAATACTAAGTCTCTATCTAGGACGTCGAACGACTTTATTGCGAAGAAAATGCATGAATTAGTAGCCGCTTCTAGCTTCTCGTCGCGACGTTTGTGGCTGTGGCGTGTGACCCATGTGCGGCGACACTAAGGCCCGTATTACAGAATGACAACTAAGGCACGGTAATATTATCTGTACAGTATTGTGACTACGCCCTGTTCTTGAAATAAATGCCTACGGCCGAGCGCTGCGTTAGCACGCGGTTGGGCCGCCTACAGTATTTTATGTAGTTTTGTTTTTAACGCGAGTGTAGGTAGATTACTCGTTTGTCTCTTTTTTCATCTTAACCGCTTATTTATATATTATTCCAGATATTTTGCCCGATGGAAAAATCGAAATACCTAAATATTAGAAACAAATTACGTACTAGTAGATAGGTATATAAAAAATATTCTATAAAGGTAAGACACCTTTCCAATGTTTCAGGTAATTTAAAAAATGATATCTCTGGGTGTGTTATTGAAGAGTTCAAGCAACCAAAAACAGCAAAATTGTGCTGTTGTACGTTATTGATCGTCGTTTGTTCTTTTCCATACTAAATTATGTAGGTATCTACTTAATTCAATCAAATATTTACAATACAAAACGCACGTTTAAGCACGGCTAACTGCATAAAAAACAATTGACACCGTTCGGTCGTCGTTGCGGCGCGGCGGCGCATTCGCGACTGGGTGCCCGCCGAGAGCCCTTCGAACTCGAGTGGCGTAGGTATGACTCGCTTTCCGACCGTTTGTATGAAGATAGAATACTGTATGATATTATTACCGTGACTAAGGCCCGTATTATAGAAAGATTCTCAGTGATTGATCTGGTCTTGAGCATTGTTAGAAAGGGATATCGCTATGTGCTATATAGCGACATCCCTTTCTAACAATGCTCAAGACTAGATCAATCACTGAGAATCTTTCTATAATACGGGCCTAAAATAACAATCAATACTCACTCAAAAAGTTCATAATCTCATTTTGCGCTTCCACCACGCTGACATTCAGCGAGTCCATAGAGTTCATAATCTTCAGCACGTACCCATGAGGACTGTGGTTGGTTATCAATGGATTCTTCACGTTTGGGTCCTCAACAATCTTGTAGTTCTTATCGTCATAGCCATTGAGTTCACTTAACTCCAGCACTGAGATGCCATACAGTCTCTCGACAAGGAGTTTGACACCTTCGTGGTCGATTATGGGCCTTATAATCTTCCCGGGCTCGAGCAGTCCTTGAATTTGGTCCGCCATTTTGTTTTGTTGTCTGTGGAAGTGAGAAAGAAATTGGGTAAGTCAACCTTTGTTTTTTTTCTAGTTATATTTTCATCATACAACTTAATAGTATCTAAGTAAGTAGGTACTTATTCGCAATTTTATGACAATTCCACAAGAATTCGAACTTTGAATGCAAGCTGTTATCAGATTAAATACTTAAGTAAATAAAATTAAGTAAGTAGGTGATTATATAATTATGTTTTGTTCAAGTCATTATTAGGCTATTTGACGAACAGGATACCATACATATACTGTACATATATAAGTATATTTATATAGAAATACATATTAAACATTCATGACTGGAGTACAAATGCTCGTATCCATCACACAAACATCTGCCCCCACCGGGATTTGTACCAGGGACCTCTATGAAACCCGGCGTACAAACCACTGGGCCACTGAGGTCGTCATATCAATAAAATCGTTCTCTCTCTCAAATACTAAGTTTAATATGTTACTATCTTTGTCCTATTGAAATTATGTTATAAACTAATAATAAGTATCACAATATGTATTATCTTTTTTTATTTCTCAAAGGGCATAGGGCTGCACCCATTTTGTCGAGACACGAAGATAAAACAATATTGTTTTGCACTGTACGTAAAGTTAACTTCACCTCTTATCTGCTTTTAAATAAAAGCAATTTATATTGTGACATTTACGACATGGTCAAATTTTATTGTCTTTCTTCCGTTTCTAATTTGTTTTTCTAATAAAGTAATTTTTAGAGGTAAATGACGCGGTAAACGTAACGAAATTATATGTAGACCGTCATTTAGATTTATCAAAAAAAAATACAGTATTTTTTATTTTATCAATCAAAACTTATACAGTTAAAGTTGAGAGTACTGACTTCACTTCTAAGTAAAAATTGTACCAAGACTTGACGTCATGCGACATTTAAAATCAATATTTAATCTCTGTAATGTTTTGATTATATGGATAAAGAAAAAAATACGTGCTTATACTTTATCATAATAATCTACTTGATAAACGATGACTAAACCCCCCCCCCCCCCCTTATTCCAAAACGCGGACTAAAGTTAATCTTGGTTTAAACCTATCGTTCGGCTACGGTCGTTGAAGTAAAGCAACTTTCGCAGTGGTCGGTCTTTGGATGGGTGAACAAAAATCTTCTATCTCGAGTTCCTCCGTGCTTCGGAAGGCACGTTAAGCCGTTAATCCCGGCTGCATCTGCAGTCGTTAGCACCCGCAAATCCGCACTGGGCCCGCATGGTGGGTGATCCAATGTCCCTATTCCATCCATAGGGAAGGCCTGTGCCCCAGCAGTGGGGACATTAATAGGCTTATGATGATGATGGTGTTGTCTCTCTCTTCTTTTGGCGTAAACAAATGTGACAGCATATCACTTTTAGTTCAGGCTTAACTTTAGACCACGTTTTGTAATAAGGTGGAAAAGGTTTTCATCATGCCTATTATCTAATGCCGCTTCCTATATACTAAATATAACGTTAACTATAAAATTTATTGTAACTATATATTTATATTCTAAGTGAGGTAATGAAAGGTGACTTCAGACGTATTTCTGAAGTCATTTTTCAACTTGACGACTCTGTATATAACAATACAGGGAGAAAAAAACAGCCCTTGCTGAGTTTCTTGCCGGTTCTTCTCAGTACAAGGTCTCCCGCCGTAGTTTTGCGAACCGATGGCGTAGCTTCTTGACCTTCACAAGTGCTTGTAACAGCCTAGCCTGAATAAATGACTTTTCATTTCATTTCATTTCATATGGAAGACTATGGCTGGCTAATACTAAAGGTAATACGTTTTTATTTATTTACTGCTACATTTCTTAAACAAAAGAAAATTTTACTTAAAAAATTCAACTTTATCCAGGTGTTCAGCTGGATTCGTATAACATCTTTAGCTCTCTGGGCGATGGTCTCGATAGCAAAGTTGGTTCGAAGCCGTGGGAGTTTTCTGGGAAATATTTTTTTAGAATGGTTTTATTCTATGTTAAAAGGGTGGCAAAAGAGCGTATGGCGCCTGATGGTAACTGACCACCATAGCCTATAGACACTTCATCATCATCATCAACCCATGCTCGTCCACTGCTGGACATAGGTCTCTCTTAATGCACGCCACTGCTCCCGATTTTCTGCCACTCTCATCCAGCCCACTCCAGCCAGCCTACGAATGTCATCATCCCATCTTGTCTCAGGGCGTCCCACACTACGTTTACCGAGTCGCGGTCTCCACTCAAGAACTTTACGGCTCCATCGGCCGTCAGTTCTGCGGCTAATGTGACCAGCCCACTGCCACTTCAGTTTGCTAATATCTATACTTATAATAAATCTGTAGAGATGTCAATTCTGTACATGAAATATATTTTTAAAATAACTATCAGGGGGTGATTAGTGATCGATACTGATGCCAAAAATGCAATCAGTAAAATTTTTGTCTGTCTGTCTGTGTGTATGTTTCTTATAGAAACAAAAACTACTCAACGGATTTTAACGAAACTTGGTACAATTATTCTTCATACTCCTGGGCAGGTTATAGTATACTTTTCATCACGCTACAATCAATAGCAGCAGAGTAGTGAAGGGAAATGTTGGGAAAACGGGAGAAGTTACTCCATTTTTTAAGCTTCCGTCGCGTGTGCAGCCTTAATGGTTAAAGTTACATAGAAATCATGTATGACGGAAATGTTCTACATAAAATTGTCTAAAAAGCATATGTCTATCTTTTATGGTTGACTCACAATAACACGTGTAATTATATAAATAAAGTCATTCTTTATAGCACAAGCCTGAGAACAAAAACTATAGTTTACACTACAGCTCTACACCGAAGCGAAGCGAGGGCGGGCCACTAGTAGACAATTATAGACACTTGCGATACAAAAATATCGCGCGCCGTCAGTGTTGCCAGATCTCCAGATTTTACAGGAGATCTCCTGTTTTTCTGAATTTTCTCCTGTTCTACTGTTTTTCTACATGAATCTCCTGTTTATCTTAGAATACGATTTTCTTTTTTAAATTGCATGTTGAGTTGCATTTTCGGCCATTAATAATGTAGGGAAACTTATTAATTTCAAAATAAATGTTTTTGTCTAAAAAAAACTAGCTTTAAGAGGCGGTAGAAGCCACAGAAACACATTCGTTACTGGTGTCTTTATATGATTTGATTTAGGGGGGGGGGGGGGGTGCAAATTGAAAAAGGTACGCCTTTGCATCTACTGTTTTTCTTGTAGCTCTTTCCATACATCTACTGTTTTTTTTTCTATAACACCTCCCGATTTTTAAAAATCGGACCTGGCAACACTGCGCGCCGTTGTCTACCCTGATCCAATCCCCTACCCCATCGAGCCCTGGAACCTTACTCACCGACAGGAACACAAAACCACCAAAAGTTAGTGTAATTTTACTGTCGTCTTCTGTAAGGTGGAGATTACTTCCCCAGACGGGTGCTCCAATTCGAACGGAAAATCCGCTATGCCTTACCTCTCTAATGGTGATATCATCATTATCATCATCAGCCTATTAATGTCCCCACTACTGTGGCACAGGCCTTTCCTATGGATGGAATAGGGAGATTGGGACATGTCCCACGTCTTTGCAGTCGTTAGTGGGTGCTAACGACTGCAAAATGCAGCCGGGACCAACGGCTTAACGTGCCTTCCGAAGCACGGAGGAGTGAGAGATAGTAAATTTTTGGTCACCCATCCAATGACCGACCACTGCGAAAGTTGCTTAACTTCAACGATCGCAGCCGAACGCGCTAGCCACCTGCGCCATCGAGCTCCTCAATGGTGATATAATGTAATATAAAATAAAGTTTTTTTGTTTTTAAAAGCCATGTCTTTAGGTATAGGTAGTCTTTTACCAATTTGGCACACAAAATGTAACAACTGGCGCATACTATATTCGTTCGTTCTATGACGCCCTCCATGCCCGAGTGGTATGAACCCCGGGTTTCAAGGTGTCGCCTACTCGAGAGGTGCCGGTTTCGAGTCCCGGTGGAGGCAGATGTTTGTATGATGAATACGAGCATCTGTATTACAGTCCTTTTTTTTATAACGCAGGTAAAAAATCTTTTTACAGACTTTAAGAGGCACACCGCCGAACGGACCTAACACCTGGCTCCCGCAAGTCTTACGGAGCCCCCAGTGGCTGACCACCGAGGACCCTGCAACTCTTACGGGCGCTTTACGGCATAATATGCGCTAAAAAGTCATGCGAATTCCTTCTACACTGCTTAATGCGAAGCCGAAGGTTGAGGAGCTCGATGGCGCAGGTAGCTAGCGCGTTCGGCTGCGATCGTTGAAGTTAAGTAACTTTCGCAGTGGTCGGTCATTGGATGGGTGACCAAAAATTTACCATCTCGAGCTCCTCCGTGCTTCGGAAGGCACGTTAAGCCGTTGGTCCCGGCTGCATTTGCAGTCGTTAGCATTCGCCAATCAGCACTGGGATGGCCCAATCTCCCTATTCCATCCATAGGGAAAGCCTGTGCCCCAGCAGTGGGGATGGCTGATGATGATGATGATGATGATGGGGTCCCTGTTAGGGATTCTACCACGACTCCGCACCCATCAGCTTCCCGGCCTCGCCGAGGCTCGGATGTTTAATATGTATCTAATATATAAAATTCTCGTGTCGCGGTGTTTGTGGTTAAACTCCTCCGAAACGGCTCGACCGATTTTCGTGAAATTTTATATGCATATTCAATAGGTCTGAGAATCGGATGTAATCTATTTTTCATCCCCCTAAATGTTAAGGGTAATCCACCCCTATTTTTTTTTTAATTTTAGATTTTTTTTTTATGATACATCAAACACAAATACGTACTACCCTAAATTTTTACCCTTCTACCACCAACCCCTATTTTTTATGGCGGTACTAAGTTCGCTGGGTCAGCTAGTTTCTATATAAATATATTTATATATGTATCAGTATATGTATTCTATCCGTTACCCTAGTATCCCACAACACAAGCCTTACAGTGCTCACTTTGGGGATAGGCTAATTGGTGTGAGTGTTGGAAATATTTATAATTTATTTATTATTTATCATCTATCTGCAATCATTTGCCTGCAGAAATTAAAGCGTACAATTTGCCACTGTTTAAATTTAAGTTAAAAAGCTGGTTATTAAATAATGTTTTTTATAATCTTGATGAATATTATACTTGTAAAACTTAATATAATTTAGGCTCTAAAATGTACTTTTTAAATTAAGATAGTTTTAAGTTATAAATTTTACCATTGCATGCCCGGTAGGGGCACACTGTTGTGACTATGTTATTATTGCAATTCCAACTGCATAATTGTACACAGTTTTTTAAGCAATAAAGTTATTATTATTATTACATACTATATTCGCTCCAAAGTTCTACAAGTGACTACTTCAACATACGATAGGAACAGTCGATCATTTTCAATTCACAATTTTATAATTATCTTCGTTGATGTATGTTTGGTTTGTTGACTTTACTAAAAATATGTTTCGACGCAGTGGCGCCGCCCTAGCGGTGGTCACGCGCAACTATTGTCACATGATGACTACCGGGCTTGCCGCTTTGCTTCATTCTGAGTTATGTAAAAAAAAAACTGTTTCGCAATTTCATGCACTCATGAAAAGATCTTTTGTAGGAACACTTAATATTGAACTGACAGATTGAAGTATTGCTCATTTGGTGTTTATAAGATTGAGTTCACTATTGTTTTAAACTTTCATGGTCACTAACATTATGGCAACTTATTTATTTATTTACGTACTTTTTATCAAGACCAATGACTGAAATAATTTTCTTTTTACTTTTTCAATGATCTTGTGCTTTCATTAAAAAGCAGTTCACTACGACCCCCACCTAATGTTAAATAAATGAAGTCCAGTTTATTTTAACTGTTAACAAGACAGTTAAAATCATTACCCTCTTCGGGAGTTGTGTAAAAAGATGACCTTTTAAATACTTTCAAATAATAATACTGTTATTCCACTTACACGTTACACGAAACGGAGGAACATTGTAGTATTAACAAAATTGTTACTTAGGACCTCTTTTGTAATAATTGTAAAAATAAATTACGTGTATTTGCGTTACAAACATACTAGTGACCGCCCGCGATTACGTACGCGCTAACTGATTATTTTCTAGAGAATAACACAGGAACCCAACATTTTTGCGGAATAAGAAAGCATCCTATGTGTCAATCCAGGTTAGGTATCCAATAAACTTAGAATGGGAGAAATTATTTTATTGGCTTTCACAGCTTTTAATGTATTTAAAACCAAAATAGATAGTAAAACATGAAATGACAACAAAGAAAAATAAAAACCGGAAAACTAATCTATGGTTGTGCTGTGCAGAACTAACAGGTCGCTGTCTGAGCAGCATTTTCAGCCAGCGCCTAGTGTCGTCCGACAGCCAAACATAATGCGTAAAATTATTACATATTATAAATATACTTAGCTAACTTTTATATTTATTTTATTAGTAAGATGTGCATACAAGCAATCATGATATAGGTACGATGTCTTATCAAAGTTTTGGCAGAGCATAAAAGGTGCACTTGTCAATAACACATCGATTCCTTGTGTTGCCAAATGACAATTGGCTTTGGTTGGTTATAAGCTAGTTATCTTTTGACTAGCACGAAGTATTTAACTTTTAGATTACCTAATAACCTTTTAAACAAACAAACACAGGCAACTCACCGGTAAGCGTCCGTCCAGTTCGGAGGCTGTGTAGCGACTGATGGCTTAACGCGAACAAACTCAACTGATAATAGATAATGGAGATGAATGGTATTACGTGTGCTGATAGCGACCGTGACACGCGATAGCAATATGCAGTTTATTTCTATAAACACTTATAATGGGCGATTCAATTCAATTCAATTTATTTGCATTAAATAGGGTACAAATAATGGTGTCACATTTCATCTAAATTGTATCTAAACCTATTTAATCATATAAAGATAACATGCAAATTTTTCTATTTAATTACCTATATAAATGTCAATAATTCTTATTATAATATTACTAGCAAACCAGTGAACCAAATGTGCACCAAAACCTGATTTAAAAAAAAATGTATTTAATTAATTGGGAACTTCGGAGATTTTGTGTGGTTTCGTTTGAAATTCGTGATTTCTCGAAAACCGGAAGTATCAGACTATTCTTAACTTATAACTTAAATATTCTCTTTATCTATCTCTTACGGTTTGCCCGCTGAAACAGCACCACAGACAGACGGACGGACTTGTCTAATAGATAAGAGATAATTATTTGATGTCGTCAATTTATCATGTCCATAATTATGTGAATGTCATAATTAGAATGGTCTTGTAAAGAATCAAAATTAAATGGTATATTTAAACCCATTAAGCATGTCCATCCATAGCAATCCTACCATAATTCATGAACTCAACCATACTGTAAAACGTGTTTTCATTTAACCACTTACGAAGTTTTGACTTGAACTTATTAAAGGTTTGGCTTTTAATTTATTCTGAAATCTTAATATATATAAATCTCGTGTCACAATGTTTGTCCTCAATGGACTCCTAAACCACTGAACCGATTATAATAAAATTCGCACACCATGTGCAGTTCGATCCAACTTGAGAGATAGGATAGTTTAAATCTCAAATTATAGTCGCAATTTTAATTTATTGCTAATTATTACTTTTGGGCGGTACGAAGTTCGCCGAGTCAGCTAGTTTCATTATAAATTTTAATTGCCATCGCCGGTGCATTTGTTTGGAATCGCTTTGTTTTCGGAACTATGTCCATTTTTATTTTATTAGGATACCACAGACTTCGATCACATCGATCACATTTGCTCGTAAGCCCGAATACGTAGCCAATGGAATTCGGGCAAACGACTGAGTGTAAACGAACAGAGCCGAGTATTCGGGTAGATTTACTTTTGTATACCGTCTTTCAGCCCATCGTCACCAGCCTATTAATGTCCCCACTGCTGGGGCATATGCCTTCCCTGTGGATGGAATAGGGAGTATGGGCCGTGACCCGACACGCGGGCCCAGTGCGGATTGATGGGTGCTAACGACTGCAGATGCATCCGGGACCAACGGCTTAACGTGCCTTCCGAAGCGTGGAAGAACTCGAGATAGAAGTTTTTTGGTCACCCATCCAATGACCGACCGCTGCGAAAGTTGCTTAACTTCAACGATCGCAGCCGAACGCGCTAACCACTTGCGCCATCGAGCTAATCCTCCTCCTTTCAGCCCGTATTCCAGTGTTAATATTTCTTCGGGTGCCCGAATTTGAGTAATGTCTTTAGTGCACCCCAATACGGGAACGACCAAATGTAATTCCGGCATGATGAGGGACGGGCGGTAAAGAATGTCTGAATATTATTCTATGTACTTACTTAGTTGAACAATTTACAAAAAGACCACCTCCTCCTTTTAAAAGTCGGTTAAAAAAACAACCCCCATATTACTTACGCGGCGGAGACAGTAGTCTTATTACCAGAAAACAAGTTTGACATACGCTCAACACGAGTTTAAGAAAAAATTACATACAATATTTGCCTAAACGAGGTTTAAAATAGTGATTTTTAAGCATGTTATTGCTAGATGTTTAAAACTAAAGAAAATTGTGGTTTACGTACAATGCGAAGAGATGGCGCTGCCTTGCAAAGGCTCGAGAAAAATTCGACATCGGCCATCAGGGCCGCGGTAGGATAATAGTCAGTGGATTCGCCCGGATAGCGAAGGGTTCGAGTGATGGTTAGCTGGTGGACATTCCAATCTTTAGGGGGAGTTTGTTCCACAAAAGTATAGTTTAGACGAAGAAGGACGAGTGAATCATATCAGAGCGATGAGATGGATTTAATATACGATACGTAATTGGTCAGATTGTTTGTTTAGCAAGAGGCGTACTCCATCGTCCGTCGACCGTACACCGTGCGTGAGCCAGTTACTAATCAACGCACAATACGTTTGTCTGTCTGTCTGTGTGACGCGGGGCATCGTCACTCTTGTACTACTCTACTGGCATAGAATACCGCAGAAACGCAGATGCGTAGAAACAAGCTATTTCGGCTACAAAAGAATCTCTTATCTATTAGATAAGTCCGTCCGTCCGTCCGTGGTGCTGTTTCAGCGGCCAAACCGTAAGAGATAGATAAAGGGAATGTTTAAGTTATAAGTTAAGAATAGTCTGATAAGACTACAAACCGGATTTGAGTAACGTAGCACTTCCGGTTTTCGAGAAATCACGTGATTTCTATTTCAAAGGAAACCACACAAAATCTCCGAAGTTCTCAATTAATTAAATTTTTTATTTTTTTTGGTGAACATTTAGTTCACTGGTTTGCTAGTTGGAATGTAATCTGGAGAAGTTAAGTAAGAATTTTGTTTATTTTTATATTTACACTAGCGGCCCGCCCTCGCTTCGCTTCGGTGTAGGGCTGAAGTGTTGACTACAGTTTTTGTTCTCAGGCTTGTATTATACACAATGACATTCATCTATGATTCTTCTTATTCCTGCATGCAAAGTCTCAGCCCGATCGGTTTAAAATTGACAAAGTTTCATACAAACTTTCATTCCCTATTTTATCCCCTTGGGGGTAGAATTGATCAAAATCCTTTCTTACCGGATGCCTACGACATAACATCTACCTGCATGCCAAATTTCAGCCCGATCCGTCCAGTGGTTTGGGCTGTGCGTTGATAGATCACTATGTCAGTCAGTCACCTTTGAGTTTTATATATACACATATAGATAGAATTTCATCAGATGGAGTAAGAAATTGGGCTTCAATTCTCTAAAGTTATTTGAATAACTGTTATTGTAATTGTTATTTGTACTTCGAGTACGATAGTGTTGCCACTCTGCTCTATTTATATGTTTTTGGTACAGATTAGTACGGACACGGTACAAAAACAATGATGAATGAATGAATGGCTATAGGATAGCCTTTCGGTCACGTCTTACGTCGAGTCATTTCACTATTTGTTCTCACTTACCAAATCACTGCACTCGGACAAAGCGACGCTATAGGAAACGAAGCGATTTTATTTGTTTTCTTAAACGACAGATATCCGGCATTCTTTGTTAAAAAGAAACTGTCCTTCCTTTTGGGAGGAGCTTGATGACGCAGTGCTCAGCGCGTTCAGTCTGTAATCGTGAAAGTTAAGCAACTTTTGCAATGGCCGGTCATAGGATGGGTGATCAAAGTGCTTCGGCACGCTAAGCCGTTGATCCCGGCCGCATCTGTATTCGTTAGCGACTAACAATCCGCACTGGGCCCGCAGGGTGGGTTACGTCCCAATCTCCCTATTCCTGACCGGCGTTATTCGGACGAACGAATTTTCGAAATGAGATGAACATGCAATTTAGTTTTTCTTTGAAATAGAGTAGACCTCCAGCTTTGGCATGCCAGATTAATTGGCGCTAGGTCTTGCATAAAAGAATCTTTATCCTCAAATGTGGCCGAGTGGTTTGTACACCGGGTTTTTTTTTCATATTTTTTTTATTCGATTATTTACAATATGTCTTTTTAATTATGTTTTATTTTTAATCAAATTTCAACATGTTTAATAATATACTGTCCGTGCTCAAGGCTGCTATTTGATACAGCCAGGGGCACGGGCAGAAGTCTGAAAGAGGAAGCATAGAAGGATAGTAAAGATAAAAGTAGGTATACAAGAAAATAGGGAGGTGAAAAACAAAGTAAAGATAAGTTGATTCACATTAGTGGCGTTAAATACTACTTGTTTGCTTCGAGTTGGCCGTCGATAGCCAATCACAGGCACATCAACTGGTACCATCGTCCAATAAGGTCGACTAATAGGGACTGTCTAAAGCGCGGTATTCTGAAGCTGGGAGGGTGGAAGCAGCCAATTCGAAGCGAACGCGTAGTGCTTTGGTTATTAAAAGTATGCGTTATTAATAGAATACAGGGTTCACTCAACACATTCACGCAATCTCATGCACACACACAGAGAGAGATACACACACACACGCAATCATACTCAAATGAGTCCTGAGGTAATTATTATATACACTTTTAAATTATAACATTCACAGAAAAAAAAAATAGATGTCGCCTACTCGAGTGGTCCCGGGTTCGAATCCCAATGGGGGCAAAATGGGGATAAAACACAAAACTATAGTGTCTCTGTTGGGAAGGAGGGTTCCACGGGGTGGGGGATTGGGTCGAGGGCAAGGCCACAAGTGACATTTTTGGTATCGCAAGCCTGGTTGCAAAGGTCTATAGGCCATGATGGCTACTTACAATCAGGTGGACCATAAGCTTCTTTGCCACATTCTAACATAAAAAAATACTTTATGCTACCGCGGCTCCGGTGGCCGTGTAGCATTCTTTCTAGTCTTTCTTAAGCTGCAATAATTTTTCTTTAGATTTAAACATCTAGCAGTTAAATGCTTAATAAATAGAAAAATATAACTAAAATTGCTGTTTCTTCTTTCAAATGTTTAAGAAAAGGTCTTCATTTGACGTTGTGGGTTATCTACAATGCGCTGCCTTGCAGCTTAAGAAACACTAGAAAGAATACAATACGGCCACCGGGGCCGCGGTATCATGATGTTCAGTGCATTCGTCCGGATAGCGAAGGGTGCGGGTTCGAGTCCCGTCTGCTGCCGGGTCCGCGTGGATTTTTTTCTGGTAAAATTTTCTTTAGATTTAAACATTTAGCAGTTACATGCCTAAAAAAATAGAAAAAAATATAATTAAAAAAAAATTTCATTGACTTCAATAATTTTCATGACGTAAGGTCAAATGCACTCTGAGCAAAATAAAAAAAAAAAATTCTGCCAAGAGTTCACTGCAAGTTCTTCTTCGTAAGCAGTCTTATTACATTGCAATAAGAGTTATAATGGAACGACTACGTGATAAGGTTACATGACTAGATAGATATAAACTTCGTATCGTGACATTCGTGACAAATCGTTTGACAGATAAGTTCACTGGCATTCTAACAACCTTGGAATTTTCCACAACAAGTACCTACTTTCCTTTGAAATAATTCGTCAAATTTGAGAATTTACATTAGACCAAGAGCTACTGAACCCTCCGAGTAACGGTCTGTCTGTAAGGCTAGAAATTCTTATGGCGATGAGTCATAACATGCTTAGTACGGTAAGCATCGTCTGGCACTCCTCAGCGTTGCACGTCATCAAGCCGTATATTTTGGAAATTGTCAAAAAAATATTAAATAAAAAACTTGTTGCTGTAAGCTTGAAATTTTTATACAATTTAGTTTATTCATTTTTAAGTTTAAATAAAATTGCCAGACGTTTACGATGAGCACAAGTACCTGCCAGGCGAACTGGAAGGTGTGTAATATATACATAAAAATAAATTTAATTCTGTAAAGTTGAAATTTATATAATGTGTTTGTTTAAGCGATTTAAAGTAAGTAGGTAGAATGCCAGGCGGTTCTGGCTAGCACAAGTCCTTGCCAGGCGAGGGGAATGATGCTGCGGCAGTGCAAGAGCCTCGGAAAAGAAAATTTAAATTAAAAAAAAAGAAAAAGTAAATTTCGGATTCGAGTTTTTTTCATTATTAATTTGCAGTTTCTGAGAACATTTACCATAGTAGTGTATATTTTTTTTTTATACCTATAAAAATAAAGATTTCAACAATCAAAAACACAGCAACTTTTTTAAAAAGCTGATATTTTGACGTGGGAATTTTCGATTGAAAATTAGGGTGCTTTTTCGATATTAAGTCAAAATAAGGTGAAAAAATGATGTACAATGT